GAATTCTGGGAGTTGAAGTCCACAAGTCTTAAAGTGGCCAAGTTTGGAGACCTCTGTCCTAGAACATTGGCCTAAAATAACCCAACTTCTTTGACTGCCTCACTTGGCTTTTCTTTTCTTGAGTCCTCTTTGCTTTCCACCAGCGCTATGCAGAATTCTCTTCCATCTCTCTCCCCCCCCGTAACACTTTTGATTCGCTTTTTGACCTAAGCTGAGCATTTGACTTAATGTTGATGTTATACGGTGAAGAGAATTTGGGTGCCATTTTGAACCGGTTTGCTGTGGTGTTCTCCTTTGTATTTAGCGACAAGGCAGCCAAGGTGTGGGGAAAAAAGGCCTTTCGTTGTGCCATCTTCTTTAGATTAACAGAGTTGGAAGAGAGCTTTTAGGTCATCTAGTCCAACCTCCTGCCCAAGGAAGAGACTCTTTGGCCATCTGCAACCTCCCTGCCCTCATCCTCTTCTTCTATTCCATTCTGGGACTAACTGATATGTGGGAATGCTTGCCAGAAGTGGCATTAGATTGGCCAATATGAGCAGCCAGGGAGGCTTTCAAGAGATGGAACAGAATGTCCCCCCAAAAAATCACCCCCCCAACCCCATCCTTTTCAAGGATCTCAAAATACCACCAAGGGAAAGGTGAAAAAAACCCAGCATTGATTTGACTTCTCCCTCATTCCTTAAACCAAGGGTCTTCAAACTTGGCAAGTTTAAGACTTGTGGACTTCAACTCCCAGAGTTCCCGAGCTAACATGACTGGAGAAGGAATTCTGGGAGTTGAAGTCCACAAGCCTTAAAGCTGTCAAGTTTGAAGACCCCCCCCCCCCCCCCCCGCCTTAAACACAAGAGATGGGGAACAATGGCCCCTTTATGACTTGTGGACTTCAACTCCCAGAATTCCTGAACCAAAATGGCTGGCTCAGAAATTCTGGGCGTTGAAGTCCACAAGTCATAAAAGGGCCACCATTTTCCACCCCTGCCCTACCAGCTGTTGTTTCCTTCATGTGTCACCACCTTTTTTTCCCATTCATGTCTCCTCCTGGGACCTAAGGCAGCTTCTCCCTATCATTTTCCAAAGATTTGAGCCATTCCTTTCCTCGTGATTCTCCAAGAAATCCGACCTCTTTCTCCATCCCTTATTTTCATCTTCTAGCAGGGAGTAGTTTCTTCTAAAAATCCCATCATCTGAAAAACGAAGAACACTATTCCACCAACTTAGCAACACTTTGTTTGCTGATGATCCTCAAACATAGGCCCGACTGTTGTTTTTCAGAGAATTCAAGGTGGTGTGAACTAGGGAGTGCTGTGGTGGCCTAGAGGTGGAGCTCTTGCCTCACAAACAGGAGGCTGTGAGTTCAATCCTAGGTAGAGGCAGATATTTCTCTCTCTGGGCACGTTGAGAATATATCTGCTGAGCAAACTCTGCACTGGCAACAAGAAAGGCAGTAGGCCAGTAAAAACTCAGCTCCATTCAGTTGCCCTGACTCCACCCCTCAAGGGATTATGGGGTCATTAAAAGAAGAGGAAGGTGGTGTGAAATAGGAATTGCTAACTCAGAAAGTCCAACTCCATCACTGAATCAAATTTTGCATATTGTAATCTAGTCGGCCTCCTGCACCATGACCGGGGTGTGTTTGCCCTCCCCGGACACAGGAGGCTCTCTGGAAGCCAGAAACGGGCCCATTTCCAGCCTTTACCGAACTTCTTGTTGGATTTCTTCCAACAACCAGTTCACCAAACTGCTCGGAAAGTTAACAACCGGTTCTCCCGAAGTGGTGCGAACCAGCTGAATCATGCACCACTGATTTCAGGATGAAGTCACACGAGACCTCAAGATTTGTACAGATATTATTCAAGAAGACACATCTGGATTATATATTAGTCACAGTAGGAAGACACCTTCATTACATTGGTGGGCTTCTATAGGAGATTCAGCCCACCAACAAACCTCCCCCAGCCTTTTTTTCCACCTGGGTTGGAAAGCCCAATGGAATTCTGGGAGATGTGGTCCAATCGCGCCTGCAACATGTTTGGTTGAATGTGCCGGCAGATCAACGGGGCTCCGGATTAAGTATTAGCTACAGGAATGGTCCATGGAAATGGATGCCCTTGTCCGCCTTCCTCGTGCAAATTCTAGGCCACGAAAGGGTTGAACTTTCCTCTGTTGATTTCGTTTTGTCTGAGCTCTGTTTTTGCACCCTGTTCTTTGTCTCTCTAATTTTTAGGAGATGAACTGCCAGGTATCAAGACGCAGAAACGGGAACTTCAGTATCAGGAAGATGAGAGAGAAATTGTGGAATTTGTCCCCAAATTGGATCACACGTAAGATATGGGGAGGGCGGCTACACAGATAGTCCTCAACTTATAAGAGTTCATTTAGTGAACGTTCAAAGTTACAACAGTGCCCAAAAAGGTGACTTATGACCATTTTTCACACTTTATGACCATTGCAGCATCCACATAGTCACGTGATCAAAATTCATATGCTTGGGTAACTGATTCATACCATGTTGGTTGGGCAATGCAACATCATACTGAGCCCTTATGGCAGGGATCCCCAAACTTGGCAACTTGAAGACTTGTGGACTTCAACTCCCAGAATTCCTCAGCCAGCATAGTCTTCAAGTTGCCAAATTTGGAGACCCCTGCCCTTATGGCCCACCTCAGTCGTGTTGTTAAGCCCTTGGAGGTAAGGCTTCAAGGCAGGCCAGACTGCACCCTGTTTTCCCAACACTCTTCTTCCTGTTTTAAAACTTGTTTTGCAACACAGAAGGGAGGAATCACCAGCTATCCCTCGAATCCCTTGCGTTACACCTGAGACGGTCCTGATCCAGGCTGAGGAACCTGAGCAGGTGAGTGTCGGCCCAACAAGGCTACGTTGAGGCCAGGAGCTGAAGGAGCATTCCACAGAGGCCTTGTTGATCAATTACCTGTTAGTCCAAGAGGTGTCCAACCTTGGCAAGTCTAAGAACTGGGAACTTCAAGTCCCAGAATTCCTCAACCAGCCAGGCTGGCTTGGGAGTTTCGGGAATTGAAGTCCACATGTCTTCAGGTTGGACACCCCTATGTGGTCAACCCTGAAGCTGACCTGACCGAAGCCATTTTGAGGCTACGGCGTTGCCATACTGGAGCTGAGGGGTAGGGAGGGGTCAGGGGAGGGCTTCAAAAATTTTTAGCAACAGGTTCTCGGCCCGGTTGCTGGGTGGGCATGGCCATGGTGGTCAAAGTGTGTGCATACGCACAAAGCGTACCCACCAAACTATGCCCACCGAACTGGTGGTAAAACTTTTTGAATCCCGCCACTGAGGTGCACCCATTTTTTGGCAGAGGTGCCAGAACCTCCGGGTTCCAAGATGGCAATAGGAAGAGTTTGCATGAAGTGGAGTTGGGATGAAGAGCATTTGTAGTGGAAAATGGCACCAGGGGGAAGGAGGTGAAAGTGATGGAGACTCTGGCATGGATTGGCAAGGTCTAAACCTCTGTATAATAGGAGACCCGTTTCTGTTCCATCTAGCCTTCCAAGGAGTTTGATGAAGAGTCCCTCATCCCAAGCAGTCCTGCCACAGAGACCTCTGACAACATCAGTCCAGTAGCCAGCCCTGTCCACACAGGGTGAGTCCTCTCTCTCCCACCTCAACCCCTTTATGAAGTTGTAGGAAGGATCTCATGTTATCATGTGACAAAGATAGTTGCCTGTAGATGACT